AAATTTGTCAATAAAATTAAAAAATTCTAATCCACTAGCGGTTTGGTACAAAAAGCTACATAAACTAGCTTTTTCAATCCGCTAACGATTTGGACCCTAACCGCTATCCGCTAGTTTCAAACCGCTAAATAAAAATTTTACCAAACACTTTAGTTGTAGCAGTTTCAGAATATATAAATTTACCAAACACCTATATTTAGTGGTTTAGGTAAAACCGCTAACCGCTACCCCAAAACCGCTATACCAAACGGGGCCTAAATGTGAGAAACAATAATAAATAAATTAAGATATTTTTAATAAATCAACATATAAAAAATTATTTAAAATATTTAAATAATTTTATAAAAAATTCTAACATTTAAATTATGTTTTCTTTTTTTTTTTTGAAGATAACGAAATGGTTTCATTACAAATACCGTCATACGTCATCTACAAAGATAACAAATAGTAAAATACAACTGTAACAAAAGATCAGAGTAGACCCATATCCAGAGACTAAAGGGAGGTGCACTCAGCACTCGAACAACCACGAACAAACCAAGATATACCACGGCCTTCGGTCGACCGACCCATACGGGACACCCTTCTATCTACCCTTGAAGAAATTGCGCCAAGCTCTAGCATGTCGGAGTGATAACCCGATAAGGCGGCAGCAGTCCCTCGAAACCAGTAAGAGAGCCGCGCTGGGCGTCGGATCAGGTAGCCCTTGCGCGCGCTGCCACAGATCCATCACAGGAGAAAGAAGGCTGCTGGATCTACACCGAACAGAACAAGAAACAGCAAACAAACAAAGCAAACCAACATATAAACAAACAAACAAGCAAACAAACAAACCATAAAAACCCACACAAAAAAAAAAAAAAAAAAAAAAAACAAAGCCACCAGAGGGGCTACAGAACCGATAAGCCACGGAGGCCATCGGAGCTCGGAGCACATAGTCGGCTCCATTGTGCTTGAGTGGCGGGGAGGCCCACGACTCAAGCAGCAAAACACAGAGGCCCAAGGACTTCCGATCAAAATCGCGGGTCGTCGGTGCGCAAAATCAATAACGAGGGGAAGGAGAGGAAAAGAGAGAAAGAAATTATGTTTAAGTTGAAGGGAGCGGAAGAGAGAGAAAGGAAAAGATACCATCGTAATTGAGAAGACAATGGGCCAACAGCTCTACCATTGAAGTAATGTAATGTCAATGATTTTTTTTTTTTTTTTCAACTTAATATATTCTCATAATTCCCCCATTATTTGGGGTATTACTATCAGTTTTTCAACCACAATTTCTGGAATAAGTCGTTAACAACCCCCATTTGATCACAACACAAAAGCACATTTGATTGATTGAACCAA